TGCCCAGGTTGGAGTGCAGTGGTGCCATCTTGGCATACTGCAACCTCTGCCTCCTGGGTTCAAGCGATTCTCTTGTCTCAACCTCCTGAGTACCTAGAATTACAGGCGCCCACCACTATGCTCTCTGTCGCCCAGGCTGGAGTGCAGTGGCAGGATCACAGCTCACTGCAGACTTGATCTCTGATGCTACAGAGCATTATTTGATGTAAACATCATGCCTTTAAAACGCCAGCTACCTCTGAGAGCTCCCAGCATTTGATTTTTCATTCGTTCCTGCCACAAACACATACTAGGCAGGGGCTGCGGCATGAGGTGCTCCAGGATACAGAGGTGAGAAACACTCATCCTGCCCTGATGGGAGAGTCATTCACTAAACAGATGATAACCATTATAAAAGATGCCACTTACTGGGCCAGAGTCTATGCCAAGTGCTCTGCATGCCTCACTCAATCCGTGCCTATTTTTAAATGTGCATAATATGAAAGAAGGGAAGGAATAAAGGAACTCAATTTCAGGGCTATTGGTTAAACATAGTCTGAAAGACAAATCAGTGAGGTGATTTGGCTATGAATTATTTGTTTATTTATTTTGGAGATAGGGTCTCACTCTTGTCGCCCAGGCTGCAGTGCAATGGCATGATCATGGCTCACTGCAGCCTCAACCTCCTGGGCTCAAGTGATCCTCCTGCCTCAGTCTAGAGTAGCTAGGACTATAGGTATGTGCCACCACCGCCAACTAATTTATTTTTTGTAGAGATGGGGTCTCACTGTGTTGCTCAGGCTGGTCTCAAACCACTGGGCTAAAGCAATCCTCCTGCCTCGGCCTCTCAAAGTGCTGGCATTACGGCATGAGTCACCGTGCACAGTCTGAATTATTTTGAAATGTTTCTGTGAGGGCAGTTTGGGATTCATCAGGGTTCTCCACACTTACATGCAGACTCCACAGTTTTTACGGAAATCTCACCTGCAAGCTAACTATTCATTTAAAATTCCACAAGCAGGCTGGACACGGTGGCTCAGACCTGTAATCCCAGCACTTTCAGAGGCCAAGGCAGGAGGATTGCTTGAGGCTAGGAGTTCAAGTCCAGTCTAGGCAACATAGCAACACCCTGTCTCTAAAACAATAAGGTAAAATTACACAGGCAAATCAAAGTAAAAGAGTGTTAGCCTTGGCCGGGCGTGTGCCTCACACCTATAATCCCTGCACTTTGGGAGGCGAAGGCAGACGGATCACCTGAGGCCAGGAGTTTGAGACCAGCCTGGCCAACAGGATGAAACCCCGTCTCTACTAAAAATACAAAAAATTAGTCAGGCATGGCAGCACGCACCTGTAGTCCCAGCTACTCAGGAGGCTGAGGTGGAAGAATCGCTTGAAGCCAGGAGGCGGAGGTAGCAGTGAGCTGAGATTGTACCACTGCACTTCAACCTGGGCAACAGGAGCAAAACTCCATCTCAAAAAAAAAAAAAGAGAGTGTTCCTTCCTCTCAGTACTAAGAGCAGAGCTGAGAAGTCTGATGCTACAGAGCATTATTTGATGTAAACATCATGCCTCTAAAACGCCAGCTACCTCTGAGAGCTCCCAGCATTTGATTTTTCATTCGTTCCTGCCACAAACACATACTAGGCAGGGGCTGCGGCATGAGGTGCTCCAGGATACAGAGGTGAGAAACACTCATCCTGCCCTGATGGGAGAGTCATTCACTAAACAGATGATAACCATTATAAAAGATGCCACTTACTGGGCCAGAGTCTATGCCAAGTGCTCTGCATGCCTCACTCAATCCTTCCAACAGCCATATGTAGGTAGGCCATGCTCCTCCTCATTGTATAGAGGAGAAAACTGAGGCCCAGGTCAGGAAGCCAAAAGTATGAAGGCCAGTTTGCACGCCTGGGTCTCTTTGGCCTCCAGACTGGTGCTCTTTCTCCCTAGGCTTCCAAAGCACAAGGAAAGGGTACTTTCATCTCCAATTCCTAGCACCTGCACTGGGCTGGCACAGAGCAAGGATCCTATTACCAAACTGTCTTCAAATTATATGGGCACTCTGGGGCCTCCAAATGGCACTAATTTCACTCAGGCATAAAGTGCTAGGATTAAGTGTGGCCAAGTCTGTGAGGGGGCAGAGAAGGAGACCACCAAGTCTGCCAGAGGGCAGGGAAGTCTGATTTCTGGGTTCCCAGTCACTCCCCAAGAGTCCATACCTGTAAGATCTTTTTCTGCTTCCCACCCCCATTTATACTGGAGCTTCTGGTGGTCCCACAGAATGTAATTCCAGTCTCTCCCTAACATCAGCCATCAGCGCATCTGCCACCAGTCCCCTGCTTAGCAACCTTTAACAGCTCCTGTTGACTACTGGATAGAATCCGATCTCCTTGCCTGGTGTCCAAAGCTCTTCCTGATCAGACCTTACCCAAATTATCTTACCACTTACTATTGCTGGTTTTAGAAGGGCAGCGTTCAATGAATCTTTCTTTAACAGAATAAAGAGTTTGGCTTCAGGAAACTTACTACTGCTCATGAGCTTTATGACTTCAGGAAGGTTTAGCAGGCTGGGACCCCCTTGAGGTCAAGGATGGTATCTTAGGCTGCGCGCGGTGGCTCATGCCTATAATTCTAGCACTTTGGGAGGCCAAGGCAGGCGGATCACCTGAGGTCAGGGGTTCGAGACCAGCCTGGCCAACATGGTGAAACCCCATCTCTACTAAAAATACAAAAATTGACCGGACGCTGGTGTGCTCAACGCCTGTAAATGCCAGCACTTGGGAGCCGAAGACGGCGCGGGATTCACAAGGTCAGGCAAGACGGTCAAGACCACTCCTGGCTTAACCTGGTGAAACCCCATCTCTACTAAAAAAATACAAAAAACTAGCCGGGCAGGTGGCGAAGCGCCCTGTAGTCCCAAGCTACTCGGAGGTCTGAGCCAGGAGAATGGCTGAAACCTCAGGAAGGCAAGCTTGCAGTGAGCTGCAGATCCGGCCATGTTGCACTCCAGCGGGCGATACAGAGCAAAGACCTCCGTCTCAAAAAAACAAACAAAACAATAAAAACAAAAACACAAAAATTAGCTGGGCCACTGGTGGTCGCATACCCTGGTAATCCCAGCTACCCAGGAGGCTGAAGCAGGAGGATCCACTGGAACCTGGGAGGTGGAGGCTGCAGTGATCTGACGAACTTGCCACCACTTCACTCCACCCAGGGCGACAAAAGCAACGACTCTGTCTCAAAACAAAAAAAAAAAAAAAAGGATGGTGTCTTATTCTTTCTGTATTCTACCACCAAGCACAGCCTGGCATATGGAAGGTTCCCTGTAGTTTACAAATACAGTCTGGGAGCCAAGATTAGTGCTAGGTGTTGGGAAGCAACAGAGGTAAACAGGTCATTGTTCCTACCTTCACAGAGCCTCATAGACTACACGTACATGGTGTTACATCAACCCAATTCATTTTTATTGCATGCTATGGACCAGGTATGCATTATGAGTGGATGAGGTCTGATCCCCTCTTTATGCTGATTTTTTTTTTTTTTTGAGACAGGGTCTTGCTGTGTTGCCCAGGTTGGAGTGCAGTGGCAGGATCACAGCTCACTGCAGACTTGATCTCCCAGGCCCAAGTGATCCTCCCATCTCAACCTCCTGAGTACCTAGATCTATAGGTGCATGCAACCATGCCTAATTTTTTTATTATTTGTAGAGAGGAGGTCTCACCATGTTGCCCAGGCTGATCTCAAACTCCTGGGCTCAAGTGGCCCATCCCACCTAGGTCTCCCAAAACGTTCGGATTACAGGTGTGAAGGATAACTCTTGGCCTTCTCCACGTTTTAACAGTCTCACCTGCTCTGCTATTTTGAAAATTAGCAGAAAAGTTGGCCACATCAGTCAGGAATTTTAAAGAGCTGGTTCATGCGTCCTCTGAGCCTCTATCTTTTCAGTTCAAGAGGCACCACCTTTAATCCAGGCCTTGACACATGTTGCCTCAGGCTGGATGACTTTTCCCACCCCGCAGGCCTTGGTTTTAAAGGTCACCTCCCTTCAGAGGCCCTCCCGGAATCTTCCCCTCCTCATTCTCTATAAGGCACTCTATTTGTTTCTACCATACGCACATTCACTAAACACATTTACTATCTGCCAGGCACTGTTCTCAGTGCTGGGGATATAGCAGTGAAGAAACAGAAACCCTTGCACTCAGACGGAGCTCATATCTTAGGGTGAGAAAGTTATTAAGCAAGATCAAGATGGAAAACAGATGGTACGATAGTGTGAAATGCTAACGAGAAAAATAACTACGGAAAAGGCATAGGGAGTGTATGTATCGCAGTTGACTTATTTGTTTGCGTTGTTTACCTGCGTTCTGTCTGCATCTCCCACTAAACTGTAAGCTCTACGTCTCCCATCTGTCTTATTTACCAATGCCAACCGGGGCTAAGCACAGCGCCTGACACACAGCAGGCAGCTGATAGACAGGTGTTGAGCAAGGAGCAAAAGCATATCTTCATTGCTTTAGCCTTGCTTCTAGGAGGCGAACTGGGAAATCCAGAGGGAAAGGAAAAGCCAGGAAAGTGGCTCGCTTTTGGCGCTGGGGAAGAGGTGTGCAGTGTGCAGTCACGCTCAGGAGAAGGGCAGCGCGGCAGAGGCGCTCGCAGCAGTGCGCTGTACAGGTGCGCCAGCTTAGGCATTTCTATCCCTATTTTTACAGCGAGGGACACTGGGACTCAGAGAGGGAAGTGCCTTGCCAAGCTCCAGCTGCTCATAAGCGATCAACCTTGTCTAAGTCCAGGTTTGAAGTCCCGGAGCGATTCTGGACCCACCACGACCACTCACCTACTCGCTTGCGCTTCCCCTCACGTGAGATTTTCCAGGTTCCTCCCTGTCTCCGGGTAGGCGGGGCGCGCTTAGCAGGTATCACCTATAAAAAAATGAGAACGGGCTGGGGGCAGGTGCAAGACAAGAATATCCTGACTGTGATTGGTTGAATTGGCTGCCATTCCCAAAACGAGCTTTGGCGCCCAGCCCCTTTCGTTCCCAGCAGGCCCTGCGCGCGCAAGATGGTGTCGTCCAGGTGGTGGTCTTGAGGCGAACAGATTGTTATGGCGTTGGCGTCCGGGCCCGCAAGGCGGGCGCTGGCTGGCTCCGGACAGCTCGGCCTTGGGGGCTTCGGGGCCCCGAGACGCGGGGCGTATGAGTGGGGCGTGCGCTCCACTCGGAAGCCGGAGCCTCCTCTCCTGGATAGGGTGTACGAGATCCCTGGACTGGAGCCCATCACCTATGCAGGGAAGATGCACTTCGTGCCCTGGCTGGCGCGGCCCATCTTTCCGCCCTGGGAGCCGCGCTACAGGGACCCAAGGTTCTACCGCTCGCCCCCTCTTCACGAGCATCCGCTGCACAAAGAGCAGGCCTGCTATATCTTTCACCAGCGTTGCCGCCTTCTCGAGGGTGAGGCCCCAGGACGGGCGGCAAGGGAACATATTCCTCTGCCCAGCACTGACCCCGACCCTCTGTGGCTTTGGGCGAGACATTGAAACTCTGTGGGTTTTGGTTTCTTCATCTGCGAAATGGGGCCGTAGTGATTCCCATCTTCTGAGAGTTGTTATGAGTTGTAAGGAGCTGGGCCTCTGTGCGGGAGTAATAGAGAGTTTGCGTGTCAGCGTGAAAAGAGCTGCTTTCTAGGCTTACCCCTGGCTCTCTCTGTTTGACTTTGGGCAAATGGCTGACCATCCTGGGCCTCTATTTCCTGTGAATGATTTTGACTGGACAGTCCACATTGACCTTTCCAGGTCTGACATTCTGGAGATTAACTGCACATTTTAAAAGTAGATGGAGAGGCCGGGCGCGGTGGCTCAACCCTGTAATCCCAGCACTTTGGGAGGCCGAGATGGGCGGATCACGAGGTCAGGAGATCGAGACCATCCTGGCTAACACGGTGAAACCCCGTCTCTACTAAAAAATACAAAAAACTAGCCCGGCGAGGTGGCGGGCGCCTGTATTCCCAGCTACTCGGGAGGCTGAGGCAGGAGAATGGCGTAAACCCGGGAGGCCGAGCTTGCAGTGAGCTGAGATCCGGCCACTGCACTCCAGCCTGGGCGACAGAGCGAGACTCCGTCTCAAAAAAAAAAAAAGGGAGATGGAGAGAGTTTATAGTGGAGACAGCAGAATGTTTAATCTCCAGGCCTGTCACCTCTCAAGTCCATGTCTAGTCCTCTGTCACTCTCACTAGGGACAGATCAAAATGACTTTGCCAAAACCAGCCTGTCTATCTAGAACAGTACCAGAAATTATTTTCCAGAGTCCATGGAGAGGCTTGTTTATCCCTTTCCCCATTCTTCCATCTTCCTCAAATCAGGATAGGGATGGGGCAGGTCTTGAAAACAGAATGGTTGAGATAAGTGGGAACAGTATTTTCCAAAGAGTAATTAGGGGGAAAAAAAAAAAGCAAATCTGGCAAGATTGGGGGACTAAGCCAGATAATAAATCCTAGGTTTGAAAAAAGTCAATTGGTCAGCCTTTTAAGCTTCTCAGTTCCATTCCTGAAAGCTGATTGTTCAGCCTTTAAACACTTCCAGTGTCCTTACAAGGTACTGGGAAGGATCTCATAAGACTTGGCATCCTTGAGTGACCCAGGTAACAATACCAAGTGGATGAATGCATTAGCAGTATTTTAGACGTTAAGATTATATTCGTTTGCCTAGGCTGAAAATGTATTGTGTATCCTATGTTTTTGCTACTTACAGAGAGGTTCTGTAGGCTATAATAAAACTCTGCAAGATACAGGGCTAGAGAAGCCATTTGGGGTAATGGAGAGAGGTGATGGTCTTTAGGGTAGACAGACTCAGATTCTCCTCCTAGCCTTGTCACTTACAAGGTATGTGAGCAAATTCCTTAGTCTCTGAGTTTCATTTTTCATTTTATAAAATCCCATCTAACTTGCAGGTAAAGCTTCTGGCACAGGGTAGATGGTGACTTTCAGTAAATGGCAGCTCTAATTATCACCTATTTTTCATACGCAAATGAAACATAAAGTCTTAGTATTTTATCTATTTTCAAGTTTAAGGAACAGTGGCGGTGTCAGAACTAAAACTTAGTTTATCTGACTCCCAGTCCAGGGTTCTTTCTGCTGCACCACAAAATCCAGAAGTTACTTTTTTTTTTTTTTTTTTTTTGAGACAGCATCTTGCTGTGTTGCCCAAGCCAGAGTACTGTGGCGTGATCGTGCCTCACTGCAGCCTTGACCACCCAAGTTCAAGCGATCTCCCACCTCAGCTTCCTGAGTAGCTGGGACCACAGGCGCATGCCACCACTGCCGGCTAGTTTTTAAATTATTTGTGAAGAGGAGGTCTCACCATGTTGCACAGGCTGGTCTCAAAGTCCTGGGCTCAAGTGATCCTCCTGCCTCAGCCTCCCAAAGTGCTGGGATTATAGGTGTGAGCCACTGCCCCTGCCCAAAAGTTACATTTCTAAACATTTATATTTATATTTCTGGTGTGATGTCTTATGGGTCTTAAAGTGAAAAGTCTCGTTGTACTTACTGCTTTTCATTTATTACCACAAGAGAAATTGCCTCAGGGTGTCTCCCCCAAAGTATCTTAAGCTCCCTTCCATCCCAGACATGGTCTGTCTGCCTGTCTCTTTCCTTCCTTCCTTCCTTTCTCTCTCTCTCTCTTTCTTTTTTTTTCTTTCGACAGAGTCTTGCTCTGTCATTCAGGCTGGAGTGCAGTGGCGCAATCTCACTGCAATCTGTACCTCCCAGGCCTAATCTATCCTCCCACCTAAGCCTCCTAAGTAGCTGGGATTATAGGCACATGCCATCACGCCCGGCTAATTTCTTGTATTTCGTTTGTAGAGATGGGGTTACACCGTGTTGGCCAGGCTGATCTCAAAGCAATCTGCCTACTTCAACCTCCCAAAGTGCTGAGGTTATAGGTGTGAGCCACCATGTCTGGCCCAGACACAATTTTCAAATGAAGATACGACCTTGAGTCAGAGAAGTGTTTCTCCAGCTGAGATGGGTAATCTGCCAACCAAGGCAGCCACCAGCCTTCTGTTAATTTGTGGGCATGATCATTGAGAAGAATATAGTATTGACTTTTCATTTGAAAATAGAGGACTGGCCGGGCGCGGTGGCTCAAGCCTGTAATCCCAGCACTTTGGGAGGCCGAGACGGGTGGATCACGAGGTCAGGAGATCGAGACCATCCTGGCTAACATGGTGAAACCCCCTCTCTACTAAAAAATACAAAAAACTAACTGGGCGAGGTGGTGGGCGTCTGTAGTCCCAGCTACTCGGGAGACTGAGGCAGGAGAATGGCGTAAACCCGGGAGGTGGAGCTTGCAGTGAGCTGAGATCCGGCCACTGCGTGACAGAGCCAGACTCCGTCTCAAAAAAAAAAAAAAAAAAGAAAGAAAATAGAGGACTGGTGTGTTTACTTGATCTAGAACTTAGATACCTAGGTCTATGCATGTTCCTCCCCTAGAGAAGCCAAATTTGGGGAAAGTGAAGCTAGAGAGGTCTTTGCCTGGCACCACAACCCATCCCACCGAGAGTAGCTAAGTTTCTTTAATGTTTAAAGATTGTCAGGCTAAATTGAATCTATTTTAGTTCACATATACACCATCTTTTATTTATTTATTTATTTATTTTAGAGACAGGGTCTCACTCTGTCACCCAGGCTGGAGTGCAGTGGTGTGATCATAGCTCATTGCAGTCTTGACCTCCTGGGCTCAAGTCATCCTCCCACCTCCTGAGTTAGTGGGATTATAGGCATGAGCCTCTGGGCCTGGCTACGTATATGCCATCTTTTCATGCAAAGTATTTTGGGCAGCTTATTTATAACACAACCAGATTAAATTTAAAAACAGCTGAGGGGATCAGTACAAAGGAAAAATAAAACAGATAATACAACAAAAATTCATTCTGTGAGGTTCTACTTCATTTCCTTTTTTTTTTTTTTTCGAGGTGGAGTCTTACTCTGTTGCCCAAACTGGAGTGCAGTGACGTGATCTTGGCTCATTGTATCCTCTGCCTCCCAGGTTCAAGTGATTCTGCTGCCTCAGCCTCCCAGGTAGCTGGGACTACAGGCAAGCACCACCACACCCAGCTAATTTTTTTGTATTTTTAGTAGAGATGGGGTTTCACCATGTTGGCCAGGCTGATCTCAAACTCCTGACCTCAAGTGATCTGCCACCTCAGCTTCCCAAAGTGCTGGGATTACAGGTGTGAGCCACCATGCCCGGCCTAAGATTCTGCATTTTAAAAGGAAGCCCCAAACCTGGCTCTGAGCTTGCTAGCAATCAACAAATGGTACATAGCTAGGGTCAGCTAACTAGGTCAGCTGCTTGTTTTTATAAATGAAGTATTATTGGAACAAAACCATGCACACTTGTTAAGTATTCCCTATTGTTGCTTTTGTGCTCTAGCAGAGTTGAGTAGTTGTGAGAGAGACTGTGGCCAAGAAGCTGAAAATATTTACTATTTGACCCTTTGAGAAAATGTTTGTTGAACTCTGGTATAGAGAAAAATATTTTCAGTTACACAGTTCACCATGTCTACAAGACAAAACAGGCCAGGCGCAGTGGCTAATGCCTATAATCGCAGCACTTTGAGAGGCCTAGGTGGGCAGATCACTTCAGGTCAGGAGTTTGAGACCAGCTTGGCCAACATGGTGAAACCCTATCTGTACTAAAAATACAAAAATTAGCTGGGTGCTGTGGTGCATGCTTGTAATCCCAGCTACTTGAGAAGCTGAGGCAGGAGAATCGCTTGAACCCAGGAGACGGAGGTTGCGGTGAGCCGAGATCATGCTGCTGCACTCCAGCCTGGGTGACAGAGCGAGACTTTGTCTCAAAAAAAAAAGATGAAACAGTTCTGTATCCAGGAAAAGCCCAACTTTTCTATACTAAGGCCAGAGAGGTTCAGCTTCTTAAAGTATTCATG